TCTTCTTCTTTCTCTTCTTCTTCTTCTTCATGCCAACAACAATTTTAAGTGTTTAGTTGCTTGTGTGAAATTTTCGGGTTTAAAACTTTATTTTAAAAATTCATTTGAAAAGTATTCTGAAAGGATATTATTTTGACATTCATTTTATGGAGTAAGACTCTAAATCAAGGCTACTAAGAACAAAAAACAAGGAAATAAGAAATTTTTGCCATTCAATCGTAGAAGATCCCTTTAATTCTATAGCTTGTAATATTTTCCTTCATAACTTTTTGTTATAAAATCCCAAATAGTTGAGTTATGGCTTCTGGCTAAACTCAGGATGATGGTCCAAAGGACATGAAAGGAATTAGTTTTGGTTATATCATATGTTAATATTGTATAAGAGAATGCTTCTTAGGCGCTTTGGAATAACATTGTATTCTAAATAATGAGTTTACTCCTTGAGCATGAGCCTAATTTATTAGTGTATTTTAAGAAGATATTGTTCCCTAGTGATTTTTTAAAGCCCTGGAATCCAAGAGCCACCTCTTAATAGGCTGTGGAGTCTGGCCCTGCAGTCCCTGGCTACTTTTTAAAATGTTAATGGAACCAGTGCCAAGAACTCTACCTCTTATTCCTGAGAATGCCTCTGTTTGACACCCAGAAGACAATTCCATGCCTGATTTTCTTTATTTCTTTGTTTTTTTCATATCCAAAAAATAAATTCCTTAGGTCTCTTTGATCTTCCGTAGCCAGTTCCCTGACCTACAACTAAAAGCTAAAGGGCATAGTCATAAACACTCTCTGAAAACATTTTAAGCCACACTAATAATAATAGACTCCATGTGAAAAAAATAGTAGTAATATGGCTTTAACTTATTAAAAAATTTAGTTATCATATATTTGTGTATCTTTTCCATTCAGATGTGACAGTGGTTTATCAAAATGGGTTACCAGTGATATCTGTAAGGCTACCATCCCGGCGTGAACGCTGCCAGTTCACACTCAAACCTATCTCAGACTCCGTTGGTGTGTTTTTACGGCAACTGCAAGAAGAGGATCGGGGAATTGACAGAGTTGCGATCTATTCTCCAGGTATAGTCACCCTCGTTTTTAATTTTCACATGCTCTCATTTCTCCCCAAACTATTTCTAGACATACAGACACAGGTCACTGCAAAAGAATATCATACTGTTAATTTTAGAAAGCTTTTTGCTTAGCAAGTGCCAGAAGAGACCAATTTTTCTCCCAGTAGTTCTCAGGATATAATTATTCAGTTTTAKCWAATGTATATGCACAGGGAGTCTCATTCTAAAGCAACTCACACATAATGCCATGGGCAAGGATGGGCAGTCAAATCACATTTTATGTTATGGAGACCTTTCTCAGTACCTTAGGCATTGAATAAATTTTTCGAATAGTTGAGCCCTCATCTCTGGAGAAATATTAGATCTTCTTTTTAGATCTTCTTATGTTTTTTCACATAAATAGAGTATATAATTTGAAAAGAATATAAAATGTCACTAAAAATTCCCATTTAATATATAACATGTATAATTAATTATTTTTAAGTGCCTTAATTTTTTTCTTTTGAAAAATTCAAAACCTACAGAAAATTTGAAAAACTAATATAGTAAGTACCTATTTACCTTTTACCTGCTCAGTTATTAACAACTGCCACATTTCTGTTTTAAGTATTTTAAATATATGCCCAACTGATCTAGTAATGTAATTAATAGACCAACTTGGTGTACTTGGCTCACCCTATCATCCATCCCTGCTGAATTAATTAGCAACGAATCTTGAGTATACAGAAAAGCACCATATGCTAGAAAACATTGGCTTTTTAAAAAATTAACTTAGCCAGCTTCMATCATAGACAAATGTAAGAAGTCCATTTAGCTTTCTCAGTGACCCTAGATTTCCAACTGACATCTAAAATATATAATCAGAAATTATTTCACATGTTAATACAGTTGCAGGAAAAATGTTTTGTTAAATCACTTTTGAGACCTATGAACAAAGAGCTTCAGACAATCTAAACTTTGACCATAGAGCTGGGGTGTGAAGCAGAAGATTAACTGAAGTTTAGAAGAGAAGAGATAATTTTAAAAACCTGCTTTGAGGATTGCTTTTTCCTGACCATTCTTGAATAATTATGGGCATATGACAAATTTAATTTCAAATTTTCACAGATGGTGTTCGAGTTGCTGCCTCAACAGGAATAGACCTCCTCCTCCTTGATGACTTTAAACTGGTCATTAATGACTTAACATATCATGTACGACCACCAAAAAGAGGTAAGAAAAACAAAAAAAAGTAGCATTCATAAGGCAGGAAGGGTGTTGGGGAAGAACTTTATTTTATGTGCTTCCATGTTCTCTTAAACATTGTAACTGGCATTAATCTCTCTCTTTCTTTTCTTTTTTTTTTTTTTTTTTTGGTGTTAGTAGGAATTGAGCCCAGGGGCCTCAGGCATACTAGGCAAGCACTTTATCACTAAGCTACAACCCAAGCCCTTTTTATTCTTCTTTTGTGGCAGAGTCTTGGTAAGCCCAGGCTGATCTAGAACTTGGCCATCCTCCTTGCCCCATCCTCCCCAGTAGCTAAGATTATAGACATGYACCACTGCACTGAACTCTGTTGTCTTGAAAAGAATATGAAATAAGGCATTAAAAATTCCCATTTGATATAACATCTGTTTCATTTATTTATTTTTAAGTGCCTTAATCTTTAGTCTGAAAGTCAATTATTGTACAGATGCTCCTTGGTTTATAATGGGGTTTATAAACCTATCAGAATTTAAAATACTGTAAATTGAAAATGCATTTTATACACCTACCAACTGGATACCTTAAACTTGCCTACAATATGCACATTAGCCCACAATTGGACACAGCTGTCTAACACAAAGCCCGCTTTATAATGTTGACAATCTCATGTGCACTCACAGATGGGTGTTTTAGAAATGATGGGATGCAAAAACCCCAAACACAGTATCCATAAAACAACAATATAACACACTGCAGATGTGGGTTATTTAGTCTCATGCCACGTGGCTGACAGGGAAATGCAGTTCACTGCTGCTGCCACCCAGCATCACAGAGAACATCGTGCTGCACATCACTAGCCCAGGAAAAGGTCAAGGTTCAGACTGTGGCTCCTACTGAATGCATATCATTTTTKCACCAACACAMAATAAAAAAATCCTAAGTGAGAACTCTTTTTACAATAGTGGTCATTAGAAACTTTTGAAATATGTATGCTTTTATGTGAAAAAAATAAGGTGCTCACCTAAGGTACAAATTTTAAGAGAACACCATCTTTGGTATTTAATAATCAATATAATTAATGTAATCAAGATAAATAACATTTTAATCCCCTTTTTTTCTTTTCATTTCTTCCTTTTGTTTGTTTGTTTTGGGGATTTTGTGGGGAGGGAGAGTTTGTTTTTGTTATTTTAGTACCAAGGATTGAACCTAGGGGCACTTAACCACTGAGCCACATCTCTATCTGTTTTTTATTTTCTATTTTGAGACCCTCTCAGAGGGTCTCTCTGTGTTGCCCAGGCTGGCCTCAAGCAATCATCCTGCTCAACCTCCCATGGAACTATAGGCATGCACCATTTCCTACTTGAAAAGCAAAAACAAAGTTAGTGCAAAAAAAAAAAAAAATACAAAAATTTAAAAGAGTCAATATTACCATTTTTATTTTMATTCTTAGCTCCAATATGACTCTGCACAGTATGGATGTTAAATAACCCTCTAAAATATCATTTTGAGTTGTATCTTTTTGGATCACTTCTCTCTTTGTCCTTGATATTCATTGTCAATTCCTACTGCTGTTGATACCCCTTGCACACTGCTCCTTCCATCAGCCTCCTAGGACTTTTCTGCTTTTGAACCTGCTTTTAATAATTGGAYCTAGCCAGACATAGTGGCACACGCCTGTAATCCCAGCATTCAGGAGGCTGAGACAGGAGGATCATGTGAGCCCAAATAGAAAAAGTTCCAACTGAAGGCCTAAGTTTTAAATACCTCTATAGTCTAGTGGTTCTCTTTCCCTCCCTCTCTCTTTCCCTGCCTTTCCTCATTCTGGATTCCTTCGCTGTTTTCTGAACTGTGCTCCATTCTTTGCCATCTCTGTTTGCTCACGCTTCCTTTGCATAAGATGCCTTTTCCTCTCACTTCCTCACTCCTTATTTTCTCATGTCAAAATTATCACTGTCAGCTCCTCCATGACATCTTGATGACTCTATTCTTTCCTTCCTCTGATGCCCAATCAAACAGAGATGATCTGTCTCTTCTCTCASATCTTCTTGATTCTGTGACTTGTATTCCCCATCAGCTCAGAGGGTCCTTCCACATTAGGGAACAAAACAGGTTAACTGTAGTAACATTTGGTTGTTGAGAGGTCACATTCTCTTCTTTGTTCAGTTGGTTGAGATGGTAACTGGATGGTAACGAAATAATAAGATCTTATTGAGGGCTGGAGTTGTGGCTCAGTGTTAGATTGCTGCTTGCCTAGCATGTATGAGGCACCAGGTTTAATTCTCAGCACCTCATACAAATAAATAAAAATAAAGATCAATCAACAACTAAAACATATTTTTTAAAAAAGACTTTATTGAATCAGATTTTAAGTTGGAATAACTGAACATGTAGACCAGGGACCGCTAGCTGTCAACTATGCTTATGTGTTATTTTTCTTTATTCCTAGAAATTCTCTAAAATAACAGAAGTACAGGCCTTATTATACTCAGTGTTTTTTGTGAAATACCTAAAGAATTCATTCTATTTAGATTTTCTTTTGTATTGCTAACATTTTAAAAGTTGACTGATAATTCCTGTGTAAAGTGTAACAATAAGAAAAATTAAGATATAAGCTTCCACATGTTATGTTGTCACAAACTGAAGGTATTTTGAACTATGACTGACCAACTTTTGTTTAATATTGTATTTTTCAAACAAAAATGAATGTTTTGGGTTTTTTGTTTCGTTTTATTGTTGTTTTTGTTTTTTTGTTTGTTTGTTTGTTTGTTTGTTTGACAGGCTATTTCCAGGACAAATAAGGAAAGCTAAGGTAGGAAATTAAAATGGGGCAGGTGCGGTAGCACACACATGTAATTTCAGAAGCTGGGGAAGCTGAGGCAGGAGGATCCTGAGGCAAGTTCAAAGCCATCCTCAGCAAAAGTGAGGCTAAGCAACTCAGTGAGATCCTGTCTCTAAATAAAATACAAAATATGGGGATGTGGCTCAGTGGTCACGCACCCCTGAGTTAATCCCTGGTACCAAAAAAAAAAACAAGGAAGAAAGAAAATAATCGGGGAATTATATTTTATTTACTGGTGTTGGCAGCCCTAACAGCTCTTTCTTTGTATCTCAGAAACCTCTTCTGTAGAAGTAGTTTAAGGTCTGAGGTTTGCARGTGTCAAAAGTCTGTAATTTACATGAAAAATTGCAAATTGAAGGGTAAAATTTGGTGGCATCAGTAGCAATATTCTTGTAGAATTTTAAAAGACTCTTTATTTATGTATGCTATTTTTTATTTACTTATTTTTGCATTGCTGGGGATCCAACCCAGGGCCTTGTACATGTTAGGCAAGCACTCTACCACTGAGCTACATCCCCAGCCAACTTTAAAAATTTTTTCAACATTTAAATTCATACATCAAAATGCTCTTAACTCTGCTTTTAGCCTATGAGAGATCTCTCATAGGCACTCAAATAATATCGTTTAAGTCCCCATTTTGTTTTCCCTGATTTTTAAACTACAGTAAAGAAAAAAAAACTTAATAAAGTGCACAACAAGTTTTAATTTTACTTATCACATACCACATTCCTGTCTCTTATTGAGGGAGGTGCTGCTGGTGTCTGAGGCACCACCGATCTCTTTCAACTGAGTGCATTAAAGTAAGAGAACAGTTTGAATTTCTGTATTTAGGAAGGATGCAGTCTATTCTGATGAGTAAGTAGGTTCCCCTTCCCACATTGTAACTCTTTAGAGAAGGCTAAATGGAGGAAAGAAATTGAAGGCAGTRTAAAGGCTTTGAGTGTCAGATAATGAAGATTAATACTAGGGATTTTATATACATGGGTTTTGCCAAGTAGCTGAGATTGGCTTTGAATTTACAATTCTCCTGCCTCAGCCTCCCAGGCCTCCCTGGGACTATGGTGTGTGTCATCTTACCCAGCATTCATTTCTTTCTTTCTCTCTCTCTCTCTCTCTCTCTCTCCCATTCTCTCATTTGTTTTTTTCCCTGTTGATGGGAATCTTGTAACTAAAAATACCCCATAAGTGTCATATAAACTATAATTTCACATACTTATACCAGGCACTGAGGCCAGAGGCTTATTCGTATAGAGTTTCATATAGCAGCATTCCATGATTATGTGAGATTGGAAGTTTGTAGGTGTTGTGGATCCTTAAGTGTTGATAGCCTGACCAAAGTTGGAACAAGGAAACATATCACAACAGTAAGGCTAGCAGCTCCATGATATTCTTTTTTTTATATTTTATTTTAATTATAGTTGGACACAATACCTTTATTTATTTATTTTTTTTTTTATGTGGTGCTGATGATTGAACCCAGATCCCTGCATGTGCTAGGTGAGCGCTGTACCACGGAGCCACAACCCCAGCCCTCCATAACCTTCTTTTAGTAATCAGAGCTGTATTTAACTAGATTCCTCTCTAACCACTGCAGGACGAGAGGAGTAACCTATCTCATTTAGATGGTTTCAAAATTTAATTAAACCTAAAATGGAAGAAAGATTCTAGAAAGGATCACAAAAAGCCCTTCACCCGGTCTATGCCAAAGTAATAATTAACTACCTCTCTCCTATTCTTAGAAAAAGAGAGAACATATCCTATATCACTAGAGGATAGAATGTGTGTGTGTGTGTGTGTGTGTGTGTGTGTGTGTGTGTGTGTGTGTGAGAGAGAGAGAGAGAGAGAGAGAGAGAGAGAGAGAGAGAGAGAGAGAGAGAGAAAACAAGAATTAACCCAGGGCTTTCTACATTAGAAAACATACTTTTTGTGCTAAGGAGAATGAGTCTGATTGATACCACTAAATCCCTTCTCCTATTTATCCATCCAGAGTATATTGAAGACCTTGTTTCTCTCTTAATGATATAAATTATTTAAGCAAAGAAGTTGAGTAGACAAACCAAATACCAACAATAATGATTGCCTCATTAGAGCCCAAATATCYAAAATCCTTCCCAAACCACGTTTGTGGCTGAAAAAAAAAATTTCAGTGCCCGTTATAGCAGCATGTCTCCCCTGTCTTTCTGTACCT